AAAAAAAAAAAAAAAGAACAAGCCACTCCACCTCTGATAGAAAAACTGTATTTTCTGTCCACTCCACCGAATAACTTTAAACTACAACATTAAAAGAGGGCATCTGAAGTACACAGTTAAGTAATAGTAATCAGAAACTTACTGACAGTGTCAAACGCTACAGTCTGAGCATTTATGGCAATTAAACAACTTTATTGTTATAAAAATCCCTTTAAAAAAAAAAAAAAACGTAAAATTTTTTTTTGCCTATTGCGTAGCTTGTAAATCATCATTTCTATATCTCTTTAATTCAAACAGCAAACATCAGCAAAATTCAGTGAAAAGCAAAAACGTAAATCATTTAATGCAGAATCATATGTAATGAAATCAATATACTAAAGGAAACAAAAATTTTTTTTTTCCAACTTCTTTTCTTTTTAAGACCAAAATAATCTGCAAAAACGATGTAATGAAATCTTTATAAGTGTTAAATCAAGTAAGTAATCAGCGAAAAAACAACAGTTATCTATTTTCTTTACGTTATATAAAAATATTTATAAAAAACAAAAAAAGATTTTTTTTTTCTCGATAACTAACGAAACTATTACTGCTATTATTATTATTATTATTATTATTATTATTATTGCTAGTATTATTATCATCATTGCTATTACTATTATCATTATTATTATTAATATTATTATTATTGTTGTTATTATCATTAGTACTTGGATGAAGACAACGGGATAAACAAGATCAGTTTGTAATAGGCGTAAGACTGATAGAAAGGTATAACTATATGAAGTGATTGACTTTAAATGCAACAGAAGCAAAATGCTGTAACGGTAATTATTATAAAATATTTTGGTTTTCTTCTCCCGCTCAATTCCTTTTCTCTGTAATAAATTACTAAGAGGCTAGCAATAAGCATAAGAACTTGAAAGTTTGCAAAAAAGAAAAAAAAAAAAACGAAATAAAAGAAGGAATGATTAATATATAAGCATCAAAATGACAGCAACAGCAACAAAAGCAGAACAGAAAAGGAAACAAGAAAAAAAAAAAGAAGAGAAAAAACAAAAGTTTATAGAAAGGAATGCTGTTTTTGCAGCCCAACAGGCGTGTTTTCATTTTGGACACCAACTAAGCTGCTTAGTTACCCTGCCCACCTCTAACATCTGCAACGCTTTAATTCAATAGCAGGGCACCTTCGCAGCGCTACTTTTTTTTTTTTGGCTCTCTTTGCAATCTGCTGCTGTTAGCCAGACTCGCTAACTATTTGACGATGCTACTGGTGTTGCTGCTGATGCTGATGTCGTTGTTGCTGCTGCTAATAATAATAATGATGATGATGATGATAATGATGATGTTGGCTTTTTGTCATCAGCGTTGTTGTTGTTGTCCTCTTTCTGTTACTTTCACTACTGCTATTGCTACTGCTACTGCTGCTGTTGATGATGATGATGACATTGCTGATGCTGCTGTCGTTACCGATCCAGATTAATGATCATGTTTGCTTGTCGTTGTTGTCGTTGTTGTTGTCGTTGTTGTCGTTGTTGTTGTCGTTGTTGTTGTCGTTGTTGTTGTTGTTGGTAGTGGTGGTCATGGTAGTGGTAGTGATGATGATATTCGTGTTGTTGATGTCGGTGTCGATATTACTGATGTTGTTGTTGGCAGCAGTCACCGTCAATGATAACCGTGATGTTGTTGATGACAACCATTTTTTCAATTTAGTAGCTGCATTGGTGGCAAATATTATTATTAATGTTATTATTATTATTACTTTTATTATTGCTATTATTATTGTTAATATTATTGTAGCTGTTATCACTATTATTACTCTTAATATTTAATTTTTTATTAAATAATGACGTTAGTTACCGGTAGGCGAAAATACATGGGAATTGGCCAAAAATTATTTAAAGTGTTTGTGTAATATATTTACTTCTAACCTAAAAAGAGGATCTTTAAATTTCAGTTATGAAACGAGGGAAATTTGTCGACCGGTAATTATCAAATAATGCCGAATGTACCTGGTAATATTTAGCAGCTTAAAGTGATTGATAGGCTTTCGCAAAAGTGTGAAATACCTTAACGTTTACCAGTTAGATTTAATCAGTGGTTTTATGGCCAGTTTTTTTAAAATGTTGTTTAGCTTGCGCCAATGCATAACTACATAAAACTGTCATTGCTGTTGTACTTCACTTTTATTTTTGTAACTTACTAATGCGTCAGTCTGTCGTCTTTGAGGTTTGTTTCTGAAAGGTTGTTAAATTTAGTGTGTAAGATTTGATGTCATTTAGATCGATCATGAACGTTTACTGCAGTTTTGCTCAGAAACCGTGAGTTTGGGGTAAAGTACAGTTAGCCTTATACACTTTTAATTTGAGGTAATTACTTTGAATCAGCATTTGTGGTGCTTTTGTTCAGTTTTTTCTGATAGCTAAAGATTTCTTCTGTATCATATGAACATATCATATCATATCAGTTCTTGAAGGGGTAACGAGAAAAAGCGTGTGCTTATTTTATGCCGCAGTTCCGCTTTGCATTGATAAAAGTGATTACCAGGTCTGCTAATGTTTTACAAACCGTATTTATTTGTTCGTTGGCATATTGTGAACACGAAGATAACATTACGATGAAATTGGTGCATGAGAATTGATTAGGTCTCATTGCATATGAAGTTTCGTGGGGTTTCTGTCATTGTGATATTTGTCGATCGATGGACAAATTCGTCATTTTTGGTCTAAGTATCCCGTAAAGGAGTTTTTTTTTTGCTTTTAATGTCTGTTAATGCATAAAAGATCATGCTCTAGTTTTGCATTTCTTGTTAACTTGTTACTTTACCATAAATAAAAGTGGCTCGATCTGTTTGTAGTAGCACAATATTTCTAAGTTTATGACATTTTTCTTCTCCTGCTGAATGTGACTCCAGAGAGGAAGCTCATGCTTATACGATGCTTTACTTTCATTTAATGATAACTCATTTTAATGGTATTTTTTCCTGGATAGATGGCTTCTGGAGGGTTGGACGAGTCTACTAAACAAACCTTGAAGAAAATTCCGTTGATGAAAACAAAAGCAGGGCCAAGGGATGGTGATCTGTGGCTTCAAGTATGTAATTTGTATTTGGAGACAAGTACTAAATAGTTCTGAGCAGTTGTTGCTATGTCGGTTATTCACCTTCTCCAGGTAGGTTTATTTTGGTGAGACGTATCCACAGTTCTGTGAAACATTTCTGCACAGGTACCAATTTAGTACATTAACGTATCTAATTCTTGGATTAGTGAGAAACGAGTGCTTAGTGAATGTTTTAATTGTGGTTGCGTTTAAGAGGCTTAAAGAAGAATTCGAAGCTTTGATTGCTTTTATAAATCACAACAAGGAGTCTGATTCCGACTGGTTTCGTTTAGAAAGCAATTCTGATGGAACAAAATGGTTTGGCAAATGTTGGCATTACCACAATATGTTGAGGTGGGTTTTCAGAATTTTATCTGTAATTTGGAACTTCCTTCACCTTCCTGATCTTACTTTTTATTTTAGAATTTGCCAAGTAAAAGCCTGTAATTTACCTCTCGGTGTTGAAAATTCAGTTATTCTTTGCGAATTAATTGCGTAAAAGTAGTTTAATATCTCCATTTTAAAGCGGCTGTAGCACTATCATAACTCATGTATTTGTTGGCTAATAGTTGATTAGGTGGAAGCCAGTTTTGCTATTTTTAGCAGTTACTGAGTATGTGCATTTTTATTTCTTATAAAAAGTTTAAACTTTTTTAGAATTATAAGTCTTCCTCATCTACTATTAAAAAAATTAATTCATTTTTACTCTGCAAGGTACTGCTTATTATTTAGTCTTCACCGGTCTGTTTTATTTGTTAAATTGTTTTGCAAGCTAACTGACCGTTGGCGAGTAGGCTCCACGCAATTTTTTGTATTATCTCTCAACTGTCTTTTTTATTGGTATCTGAACAGTTCTTAAAAGAAGCATTTCTTTTGCCAAACAGGTTTGTCTTAAACTAATTTTCTTCTAAAAATTCCAAGAAGGCAGTCATAGGGTTTATGATTATTAGAGGATCATGTCGTTTGAGAACTGCGAAAAAAATTACTGATTTTTGAAGATATTATTAGGAACAACAGCAGCTATAATTAATCTGGTCCAAAATTAATTTTTAGCAAGGTGCGTTGCATGGTGAATTCTTGGAATCATCCTTTTTTATACCGCATTGTATAAGATATTCTCTAATATTTATTTTTTCAAAGAAATTTGCTTTATAATTCTTATTAGGCTTGCATAACATTTTCGACACTATTCTTCAAGGAGTATTCCAGCGTTTTGAATTTTTTCTTTTCTGAGAGAAACATAGTTATATGGATATATCGAGGTGTTACAAAATGATTTTGACTTATATAGTTTCTAGTGAAAATATTAAAGTAAAATTTATAGACTTTTACGAGGATCGGACTGCAATTTCCATATGTAATATATTTTTTCATTTTATGTGATTAATTTAAAAGAAGTTTTTTAGAAGGCTCAGTAACAAGTATAGTTCACTAACCACTTTTTTAACTATTGTTAATGTATTTTTTCTTTTTTATTTTTTAGATATGAATTTGATGTTGAATTTGACATTCCGGTTACGTATCCTACTACGGCACCTGAGATTACTTTACCCGAACTTGATGGTAAAACGGCAAAAATGTACAGGTCAGTATTGTTATTGGATAGACTACTGAAAGTTGCTTGTTGGTGTTTATAGCATGTGACAGTTTTTTAGGGGCGGTAAGATCTGTTTATCCGATCATTTTAAGCCGTTATGGGCTCGAAATGTCCCGAAGTTTGGTATTGCGCAGGCGTTCTCATTGGGTTTGGGCCCGTGGCTTGCTGTTGAAGTTCCTGAGCTTGTTTCTAGAGGTGCAATACAACCAAAACAAACAGAAGCAAGTTGAGCCATAGCAGTTTTTTGGTTTATTACGAGACTTTCCTTTCATACCATTTAATTTTTGTTATGAAAATATTGTTTCCTCAATCTTTCTGCTATAGTTATTATACTATTTGCCATAGAAATGATTTATTGAAAAGTGTTTTCCTCTTGTGTGTCAAAATGAGTTGTTTTTTCCTTAATTCTCAATGTTTCTTTCTATGTGTTACTTCTGTGATTTATAAAGTTAATTCCTGCTTTGTAGCCTTTTTTTTTTCACTTTTTTGGACTTGGAGGGAAATGTGGCAGTGAGAGTGCTGCTTTTTAAGTAACTGTAACGTCTTTATTAAGCCGTATAAAGATAAATTGTTCTTTTAGTGTTTAAACAAAGTGAGTGACTTTAGAATCATTCCTTTTATAAATTTCCAACTCCAGATTTTTTTGAAACTCTGTACAGAATAAGGTACGTTTTTGGTAGTTTGTTCCACTAGTTTTAAACTTGCTAGAGTCACTCACTAGAAACCGTATTTCCGGCGGAAGGGTGGGGTAGGATTAAAACTGGCAGTTATTCTTAGCTAGTAGTTCTTCAGTTTGAACAGTTTCATTTATGTCGTGATTGGATTTCAGGGATATTTTCAAAATAATGTGGAGGTGGTACATA